CCTCATGCAGATCACACCAAGCATGCGGATGACTCTGCGTATGCCCCCCATGCAGATCATCCTGGGTGTGCCCCTCATGCAGATCACTCTGGGTACGCTCGAGAGCCATGGCTGCTGGAACCCCAAGTTCCTACCGGGTGGAGACAGTGGCTGCACACACCTCAAGTCCAAGAGCTGGCAGACTCGCCACTGGTAAGGTATGTTTGGCACAATTACTGGCCACAACTGTCCCTCTGCATGGCCATGATAGAAAATGAGGAATGAGCTGGGCTGCAAGGGACGATGGTTAGTTAGATAGGGTCATAGAGATAATTAATTGTTGCTCTCTAAAATCTGTTTCAGGAAACCACACAACGAAAAATGTCTTAGAAAGATTTTTGTGGGAGGGAATGTTGGCTGCGGTTAGCCCACAGAACGGAGTGTGCTTCTTGAGTACCTTGTTGGGTACCTTGAGTTGGGTTGAACGTTATTGGCAGTCATTGGAGAAAGATGAGTTTGTGGACTTGAGGAGGCACCTATCGTGGGAACCACACAAACGGCGGCAGATATGGCGCGAATTGGCGCAGCAGCCGGGTGCAGAGTTGCGCTTCAATCCTGCACAGTGGACCATGATTCGTGACGGCGAATACGACTGCCCGCTGTACATCCCGACGCTGCCAAGTCTCACCGACTTCGGCGGCCACTTGTTGTTGATGAACGAAGCCAAAACGGCCGTCGGGACCACAGTCGGGTCGACCGTGGGCAGGACCGTCGGCGGGTCCGGCTGGGATTCGAACGCGCGCGTGGAAACGACGGTGGGTTCGGAGGAAGGCAAACTCTCGATGGATGCATATAAGGTGTATTGTATGGTGAGGAGCACGTTGCCGGAGGCTGGATGGGAGAGTCTGCGGCGCATAACGCCGGCTACATTCGACCACTGCAACCTGGCATACGTAGAAGTGGCTGCGGCGATATCGTCATGTTTCGAAAGTCCGTACGGAACGGTGGATGGGCGAATGCATGATGCGGTGGTGGAGAAGTTGGGGTCTAGATGGACACGAGTACGACTGCGTAACTGGTTGACGGGTTGTTTGTTACAGCATGCACAAGGCTCACTGTCACATTTGCTGGAGTTTTGTGCAACGGTCCTAAAGTTTGTACCGCCTACGAGTTACGCTCATCCGCGACATGACGGTGACAATGTGACGGTTGATCATGCGCACATTCCGGCGACACGACGATTAGAGTGTTTGCGGGCACGACCTCTGAGAATTTCGGAGCATTTACGAAGACCTGATTTCGGTGACGCAATTCGACTAGCGGTTTGGGCTTTCCACATCGCAGGCTTGCCCACAATCTCTGCAAGGGAGTACGGAAGCATGTGTCAAGCAGACCTAGCTGAGGTTATACATCAAAGCGGAAACACATCACAAGCCGCCGCCGCCGCGAATCCAGAAGAGCATGCATGGATCCGCCGATACTGGGAATTGCTGGGACCAGAACAGTTTCAACGTCTCTCCGATGGCGTGGACTCCGCCCTTCATCGACGACGACTCACCTGGTTGAAAAATGCCCCCATTCTGAGAGTCCTGCTCGCCTCCGAGCCTATCGCACCTCGGCTGTCGACCACGGCGGAGCTCTCATCCAACCGAACAATGCTACCGACGGAATGGACGATGACTAGTGTGCTGGGTGCACCGGAGGGGTGCGGTGGAGAACGGCCTTTGTACATTCCAGAGTTGGGAGTGATGAAGACAGGAGTTCGATGCCGACCGTGTTTCCGTGATGAGTATGAGGCTTATTATTTGTTGCATCAACTGCTGGGAGACGAGAGGTGGGCGAAGCTTCGGACCATTAAACCGGAAGATTTCAAGGAGTGTGCACAGGGGTACATCAGGCTCGCTGCAGAGTTCCAACGTTACTTTCTGTCCCCCTTCGGCATCCTCGATACTCTGCTCATGACCTGGATCAGCAAAGAAGCGAAGCTTGCCTACCGATCGCCAACTCTTACAAACTGGATTAGCGGATGTCTTCTGCAGTACTGCCAAATGCCCTTCCACGACCTTGTCCAATTTTGTCACAATCACTTCCGAATGAGTCTGTTTGCGTCTGACTCGTCTTCGGAGTCGCTGCCGGCACAGTTGAAAGCAACCGCAGAGGCGATGTCGCGCTTGCCAGTCATCTCAATCGCCGAACTCGCCACCCAGCGGGCGGTTCGAATCCCAGGATTGCGCCTGGAAACCGCCTCACTCGCAGAACCAAAAAATCCCGCCCGGAACGGTGACGAAGAACACGCACCCAAAAGGCATTGTTCGGATCGTGCAGACGACGACGGCGGGAATGCCTCTGGAAGTTCAAGCTCCAACGACGGGGAGGCGTGGCTGCAGCAAGTAACTAGCCGATGGAGAGAGTGGCTGGAAAGTCCTCAGGTCCAAGAACTGGCAGAGTTGCCAGCTATAAAGTACGCTTGCACTAATTACTGGCCACAACTCTCCCGCTGCATGGCCATACTGGACAATGAAGGGTGCGAGACTGAACGCTAAACCTTCCCTTTCGCTCTCAAAAAGTTACTCGCGTCCTGACCGCCTGTTTTCGGGCTGTGGTACCTATTCGTCCGGGCTGAATGAGGCGTTGTTTTTGAACCTGGGCCTTGCATGACGGGTAGCCTTCGCGGCGTTTGATTTTCCGGGGAAATTGCTGACGAAAATGTTGGCGACGGAGAGTAGGAGGAAGACAGAGAAGAGGCTGCTATCGGCCGGTGCGAGTGTTCTCGCCGTGGCGAGTGTTCTCGGGGATGGTGTGTGGATGGATTGGGCTGAACGGTATTGGGAATTGTTGGGTCCAGAAAAGTTTGGTCAGTTGAAGACGCACTTGTCCCCGGATCCGTGGAGAAGGCGGAAGCACTGGCGCACGTTTCTGCAACAGCCTTCGAACTCGGTGCGCTTCGACCAGTGGACCTTGTTGCGTAACGAAGAGGGTACGCGTCCGCTTTACATCCCCACACTGCCGACCCCAACCCAATTGGGTAGCCGCTTGTTATGCTGGAGCTTAAAAAATCGAGTGAAGGCCGGCCCGAAGACCGGCGCGAAGCCGGATTCGAACGCACGCGTGGAAACGGCGTCGGGTACAGAGTTCGCGGGTGTGTGCCTCGCGGGTGCACCGCCTGGCTACGACGCGTACTGTACAGTGCGGAGTACGTTGCCGGAGACGGGGTGGGAAAACCTGCGGCGAGTAACGCCGGCAACGTTCAATGAGTGCAACCTGGCGTACGTGGAGGTGGGTGGGGTGATTTCGTCATGTTTTGGAGAGCCGTACGGCACGGTGGACGTAGAAGTGCGGGAAGAGGTGGAGCACCAGCTGGGGCGAGGGGCAAGTCGGTTGCGCAACTGGCTCACTGGTTGTTTATTGAAGCATGCCGGTGGTTCACTTACGGACTTGGCGGGGTTTTGTGCGCTCGTGCTCAAGATCAATCCGTCGACTCCTCAAGGGTGTGTGCGTGACCAACTTCGTGATGGGCTATCGATTGAAGAGGCTACATTGAAGGGCGCCCTATGCTCCAAACAACTGGACTGTCTACGTTCAGGACCGCCGTGTTTTTCTGATTACTCGCGACGTTTCAACTTTAACGAAAACCGTCTGGAAGTTTGGAAACTACGACTCGACGATCTACCCACCGTATCTGTCGCTGAATACGCAACCATGCAGCAAAGCGACTTGGACAGAATTTTATCTCACAGAGCACCCCCAAGCGGGCCAATCGAACAAGAACGGGCGTGGGTCCGCCGCTACTGGGAATTACTGAATCCGGAAGAATATGCCCGACTCTCTGTCTTCGTCGACCCGGCTCCTCACCGAAGACGAGCGCGCTGGCTACGAGTCGCGCCCCAACTTATCTCACCCACTGACGGCGAGACGGAGTGGAGCATGATTAGCGAGATTGGGGACGTCGGGGACGACCGGCCTTTCTATATTCCTGAGTTGGGTGTGATGAAGACGATGGCTCGGTCGCGTGGATACTTCTGGGGGCGCGACTACGAGGCGTATAGAGCGTTACATGGTTTGCTCGGAAGAGACAAGTGGGCGAAGTTGCGGGCGGTGAAGCCTGCGCACTTCTTGCGGTGCGCACAGGGCTACCTCAGGCTGGCTGCAGCGTTTCATCGATGCTACGTCGCCCCTTTCGGCATCCTGGACACTCCGCTGCTCACTTTTATCGCACGGGAGATGAAGATACCCACACGCGAACCGCGTTTCGCATACTGGATCAGTGGTTGTCTTTTACAATATTGCGAAATGCCCTTCGAAGATCTCCTCCGCTTCTGCGACAACCATTTTCGGTTTACACCCGTACCTTCCGCACGAGACGTTACCGCCCTTCAAAATTCAGTATGCGTCGACATGCACGCCACAGCACAAGCGCTAGCCCATCTGCCAGTCTTGACGATCGCCGAGTATTGCGGCCTCGAAGTAGGCGAGCACAACCGGCGTGATGAGTACAACCTGCCCAAGTTTGGCGGATCGGAAAGACCGACACGCAAAAGGCGCCACACCTCGAACCACACAGACAACGGTTCGAATCTCGAAAATGCCACTAAAGAATTTTACGAAAACGGAAAGCAGCACGGGAACGCCGCGGAACCGTGGCTCCAACAACTACCTACTTCGTGGAGCAAGTGGCTGGAAACGCCTCAGGTCCAAGAACTGGCGGAGTTGCCAGCGGTCAAGTACGTTTGCACGAACCACTGGCCACAACTCTCCCGCTGCATCGCCACGCTAGCAAGAGAGGAAAGCGAAGAACGTCAGCTGACCGGAGAAAAGGGCAGTGAATCATTTTCCACATCACATCCGCTACTCCCAGGTGGAATAATCGGCACCAGTCGGTCGGTCGGTCGGTGAGGTAGGTGTTGACACATTTTCCGTGGAGATGTTCTTCTGGAAGAAAGGAGTGAAAAACGAAGCGAAGAAGCTGGCAGTAGCTGAGCAGCGGCCGGTGGAGTACCACGCAGCAGTGCAGTACATCCCCCACTCAGGGCCGGTGGCCATGTCCAAGAAGGAACGGCACGAATTAAAGAAGAGTCTGCGCAAACAAAGAGAAAGAAAAGCGAACCCCACAAGTGTCTCTCTCGGAGCCGCTCTGGATATGAAGACCCCTGAGCAACAGGCCAGTAAAATGCAGAGTCTCATGGCACACCAACAGCCAGTACATCTCCAGGCCCAAACTGTCGTGCTCCCGACGGGCGCATCCAGCAATTCAACAATCAAACACAAAAAGTAGGAAAGACAAGGCCTCCATCCTGGAAGGCCTCCATCCTGGAAGGCCTCCATCCCGGAAAGCATCGGACCTGGAAGGCTGACGGCAGACCAATCATTTTTCCAAACTGGATCGAGCCTGCATGCTGATCAACCGCCACCACCTCTGTCAGTAGCGACCCGGCTCGTAGCAACCGTAATTCTCGAGCACTGCTGGGTCTTGAGCATAACCGACTCCACAGTCTGGTCTGTCCCGGCACAGCCTCCTGACGGCCTGGCCTGGCCTAGCCTGATGGCCTAGTCTCCGCCTCAGAGGTGGCGTCTCAGGGGCTGTGATTTTATCACAGCATCAGAGAGGCCAGCGCGGCGGCGGTCGTCGTGCTGATGAAGTTGACTTGGTCGTTGTCCAATACGGCCCAGAGTGAAGGCCCCGCTCGTTTCCCGTCGCAGTGTCCGTCTCGTTTCTCGTCCGAGTGGTCTCGTTCGTGAGGACGTTGTAGTTCCTCTGGATCTCGTTCCTCTGGATCTCGTTCGAGGAGGGCGCCAAGGAGGCTGTCGATGAGGCTTCCGATGAGTCCGAATAGTCCGCAGAGTACGACGAGTTCGAAAACAGCAATTGATGGTGCTCGCGCGGTGAGGGCATACAATGCACCGATGATCCAGCCGCCGACGATTGACAGGAAAAGTCCCGCGAGAGTGACGCCGCCGTTGGTACCGACTGGTACTTGGCGCCATGGATGTGTGACAAGTTTTGGTTGAGCGTCGGCGAGTGGTGCAAGTTCAGACGCGAGTGTGTCTCCAAGTGCAGCACTCAAAGCGGCCAATGCAGGCCAGCAAACATCATAGCGCCCAGACAATGTGTGCATAACTTGGGCAATCGTGCACACACCACCATTTGCAACTACCTGGCGCCAAGACCTGTGCCCAGCCGCGTCATAACCAGGACGTGCCTTATAAGCACTACCTACACGCGTCGCCACCGTTCCCAGCAAGAAGAAACTCACCAAGCATATCAGCACGCGCCAACCAGCACAAACAGATAATAACGTGCCCATCAGCCAAGCTGCAACACAGCCACCCCCATCCAGACTACGTCGACCATACGACCGCACCACCAACGGAACCAATAATAACTGCCACCACCACCACATCCTGCCGATTAAAAAAAAACCAGGGTCGAAACCATGATCGGGGCCAGGGTCGGGGCCAGGGTCGGGGCCAGGGTTGCCTGACAGTTGCCAAGTCCGACGAGGGCCATCAGCCCGTCGGATATCGCGACCGGGGACAAGGCAGCGCCAGGGAACAGTGGCCCATGCTCTGACCTAGTCATGATCAGCCAGTTCGTCGTCGTCGCTGGCTTTATTTTATTTTCGGATGAAGGTCGAGTTTAAGTTATTGGGCGGCAAGAGCACTCATGCCGACGTCGGTGCAGCAGACACAGTGCCTCAAGTGAAGGAGGCCGTGTGCCCGATGCTTGACCTAGACCCGGCTTCGGTCACGCTAGTGTACAAGGGCAAACTCGCGAAGGATGCCGACACCATGGAAACGCTCAAGGTGACTGAGAACACCTGCATACACCT